CTTTCTGGTCTGCGTGCCACGTGGATGCCGTCCCCATCAAGTAACATCCCCGTGAGGGTGGTGCTCCCGGGGAGCAGGACCCCTTTCTGGTCTGCATGCCATGTGGATACCGTTCCCATCAAGTAACATCCCCGTGAGGGTGGTGCTCCCGGGGAGCAGGACCCCTTTCTGGTCTGCGTGCCACGTGGATGCCGTTCCCATCGAGTAACATCCCCGTGAGGGTGGTGCTCCCGGTGAGCAGGACCTTTTCTGGTCTGCGTGCTGTGTGGATGCCGTTCCCATCAAGTAACATCCCCGTGAGGGTGGTGCTCCCGGTGAGCAGGACCCCTTTCTGGTCTGCGTGCCACGTGGATGCCGTTCCCATCGAGTATCACATGTTACTCGATGTGAGGGTGGTGCTCCCAGCAAGCAGGACCCCCTTCTGGTCTTTGATTTCTCGTTTGGCATCACAGGGCTGTCAAAGCAGGTGCCCTTTTCAAGGACCCCAGATTCACAGAGAACTGACAGAGCTACTTGATACAGACTCGGCTGCTTGGGTTCCCTGCATATACCAAAGATGATTTTCAAAGAGGGATTAGGGTGAGTCAGGCAGGAAGCCGTCTTGCCTGAGGCCAGATAAGGTTCCTTGAGGACTCTGGGGGAGGGAATCCAGATCTCACAGAACTGGTTTGGTACTGGATGCTGCAGCAGGAGGGAGCGGCAGAGTGGGGGCCCCTCCCCTCCAGAGTCTGCCAGGTGCTGGTCCCGGTGCCCAGCGGTGTCAGGTGGACATGGAGGGGCTGACTCCTCTGCTAAAACCAGTAGACTAGATTTCCAGGACTCTGAGGACTAGGTGGCCTTCCTGTGTGAGGGCATAGTTGTTGGGGGGTTGTTAGTTTAGGACTTCTAAGGAAGAGACAGTGTTCTTGCTGCTAATGGTGCATCTTTTTTTAGCTCTTTTTAAATTTAATTTTTAATTAAAATCATAACTGAATACATTTATGGGATTCAGTGTGATGATTTGATATATAATATGGAATGCTTAAATCAAACTGATTAACAAAACCATCATCTCACTTTATTTTTTGTAGTAAGACATATAAAATTTACTCTTAGTTATTTTAAAATACACCCTTGCATTGTGCACATTAGGTGAGATCAAAAGTACTAATGGTGCATTTTGATGAAATAAGTGTATGGGGAGGCGCCTGTGGCTCAGTGAGTAGGGCACCAGCCCCATATACCGAGGGTGGTAGGTTCAAACCCGGCCCTGGCCAAACTGCAACAAAAAAATAGCCAGGTGTTGTGGTGAGCGCCTGTAGTCCCAGCTACTCGAGAGGCTGAGGCAAGAGAGTCACGTAAGCCCAAGAGCTGTGATGCCATGGCACTCTACTGACGGCGATAAAGTGAAACTCTGTCTCTAAAAAGAAATAAGTGTGTGAGGCTCAGCGCCTGTGGCTCAAGTGGCTAAGGCTCCAGCCACATACACCTAAGGTAGCGGTTCAAATCCAGCCCGGGCCCACCAAACAACAATGATGGCTGCAACCAAAAAAACAGCCAGGCGTTGTGGCAGGCGCCTGTGGTCCTAGCCACTTGGGAGGCAGAGGCAGAAGACTCGCTTGAGCCCAGGAGTTGGAGGTTGCTGTGAACTGTGGTGCTATGGCACTCTAGCCAGGGGAATAGCTTGAGACTCTGTCTGAAAAAAAAAAAAAAAGTGTATATTTTTTGAAGGATGGCACAGTTTGTCCCTGACAGCCACTATCATCCGTGACTCTGGTTGCAGCCCAGAGAGTAAGGTGGTGCTTACTGGAAGGTCTTAAGAGTCTGGATACCCCTAAAATGCCATTCAGTGTGTATGTGTGTGTGTTGCTTTTTTTTTCCTATGGAGAGAATTCATAGCTGTGATTCAGTTTTCAGCGTGGCCTAGGACATAGTCTGTGGGTGGTTAAAAGGTGTTGAGGGGAAGATTATGGTTAACCAGGGACGTGGAGAACCCCAAGAACTAAGGGGACAGACTGATCACCCTGAAGGCTGTACTCAGCACTGTGAAGGCTAAAAGCCTGTTTTAGAATACGTTTCCTTTTCGGGTGGAGGGGCCCTGGGAAGCTAGTAAGAATATTTTGGTTTTAAGTAAGACTGGCTAGTTTACGTGACAAAGAAATTTATTAAAAGAATATTAGAGTATCTCAAAGAATCCAAGCAAGACTTGGAAATCCAGGCCACCTTCCAGAAGGTTGGCCCTAGGACTTGTTTTTCTCATAGATGGTTGCCATGGACATCCGGCTGGCTGTGCAAGTGTGTACTGAGAGCCTGCTCTGCCGACACCAGGCTGGGCATGGAAGGTACAGAGACAGGGCCCCTTTTCCCAGGGGCTTCACAGAATCCCCTGACAGAGTTGCCTGGTACAGACTTGGATGCTTGGATTTCTCTTGTATATTGAGGATGATTTTCAAAGAAGGGGAATTAGGGTGATTCAGGCAGGAAGCAGGGGCCTTGGCTCACACCCTTCGTGTATTCAGCATGGGCGTGTGGGCACACACGCAGACACTTCTGAGGAGACCCTGACACTGATCCAGCCATCCTATGCCCAGGCACAGATGAGCTCCCCATGGGGACACCCCACAGACAGTGCTCCTCTGCACCCCAAGATATTCCCACAAGGACTCCCTAGAAGCTTGAGAAACCCACAGTGTCTTGGTGGCACTCTGAGCATTCATTCTCATGCCAGCCTCTCTCAGAAGCATTCTTTCCTGGGTGCTAAGCCTCCAGATCACCAGCATCCAGAAACACATGTTAGGAAGTGAAAATCTTGAGGTTAGGTCATTGGATGTAATTATGAGGTATCCTCTGCTGCTCTGGTCCCTGGTTCCTAGACTTGTGTACTGTGACTCTGGAAGATGTGACATTGCACCAGGCAGGGCAAGCAGAGCTATGGCTGCAACGGTGCCTGGGTGCACTGGAGAGTCCCCCCAGTACCTTCTGCCCAGTGAGAAAGCACTGGACTCCCACTTCTCTGCAGCCTCACTTGGTGTGAGGCAGCAGGTGTGGTTCAGAAAGCATTAAGACATCTGTGGATGGTGAGGCTGGAGAGGCACAGTGGGCTCCAGTGTCTGTTCTCATGAGCACAGGTCCCTGCTTCCATTGGGAAGAAGGGACCTGGCGTAATGAGCTGTCATCAGGGAGGTCAGTGCTCAGGGTGGGTCTCTGTGGTGGCTGCTGGACACCCAGCAGGACTGGAGTCAGGCTGTCATTGCCCACACAAATACTGGAACATGCTATTCCTGCTGTGGTGAGCAGGGGCACATGTTTTCGAGGCTCTGTGGCACCTTTTCTCTTGGTGAGTGACTGAGTTATTCACACAGCAGCCTTTCCTGCTGTGCAGGGAGAAAGACTCATGTGGTGAAGAGCAGGGGCACCCAGGGCACTCATGGAGCACACAAGCACTTCAGGCCCTGGTTGCATGTATGCCCACTACCATCACCATTTCCATTTCTGTGTCATTTTGTTTCTTTGGTCCCTCCCTGCACAGTGTGGCAGGTTCCATGCGGACTCTGACTCCACGCTGCCTCTCCTGTGTACAGGGCAGGGTGTGCCCATGGGAGAGGGTTCCCTTTTCCATCATCTTCCCGAGAGCAGGAGCAGCTCGAGCAGGCCACGTACCGTGTGGTGGTGAGGAAGCTGCAGGTGCTCACTATTGCCGAGTGCCTGGGACTTGGGGCAGGTTGGGCTGCTGGTGCCCTGGGAAGGCCTTGTGGGCTGTGCTGGTGCTTCTAGACATTATCCTTTGGCCTGAGAAGGATTTTCAGCTTAAAACAAAAATGATCAGATTTGCATTTTAGGTAGCATTTTTTCCTGGTGTCAAGTTAGATTAGATTGTTTTAGTCCAGGGTAGAGCTCTTGAAGGACTGGGTAAGAGTTGGAGAGATTTAAAAAATATTGAGAAACTAAATTGGCAGAACTGGGCTAGCAATGAGGAAAGGGAGGATAGACTCAAGTGGAAGGGGTGGTGGGAGGTGAGGCCACTTTCTGAAATGGGAAGAGGAGCAGGGGCTGGGCGGAGCAGAGAATATGTGTGAAGTGGGAGCAGGTATGAGGATGACTTGCTGAACCAATGACCAGCTGGTGCCTCTGTCCCAGGTGAGCAGGGGCCGTGTGGCTTTCCCTCCGAGGGAAAGTGCCAAGTGCCCCTTCCCACACCTGCCTCACACCCTGAGGGGCAAAGACAGTCCTGCCAGGCCCGCTTAGTCACACACTGCCGACCCCATCCAAAGCCAGACGTCCATCCCTGAGACCCAGGATGGTTTGAGAGCATAACAGCTGCCTGAGACAATCTCTTCAATCTTTGGAGGAACCCAAGTAGAAAGGATAAAGGGGAAAGTTTTTGTGAAAGAAAAAGTAGAAAGAAAGGAGAGCTGCACACAAACCCCCGAACCCGCTGTTCAAGTTCAGAGCTATGCCTCTTGAGAGCTGAAGCCTTGAGTACTGCCAACTCCATGGATGGCCACCTCTGATGTTTCCAAACAG